AGCATTTGAAGGTAAAGTTTTAAGAATCTCTGACGAGAAAATGACAAGAATTTGACAATTTAATGGACAATGCTGCATCAATCTAAAGTTAGATAATATAAGCAGCTTATGTAAGAAAGACCTTTATAATGAAAAATACACAACTCATCCCACAAGTGTTTGTATAAAACTACAAAAATTTATGAAATCATTCATAAATCATAAATTTAAAACTCTAATAGAAAAAATGTCACATTAAATGTCATGAAAAGTTCTTAAAGTTTTTAGAAAAAATAACGAATCACGTTACCACATTTTTGATGCATCATTTTGCTTCTTTAGAAACCTTAAAAAGGCACAAGACTCCGTCTTTCGTACAGAGAAAGAAATAAGAGATACTGAGAAAGAGGTGGATGACCTAACAGCAGAGCTGAAAAGTATTGAGGACAAAGCAGCAGAGGTCGTAAAAAATACAAATGCTGCAGAGGTAAGACTTGCTTTGTATTGAAGAGGAGATGGGATGACATTGGAACCAATTTAAAGAGCTGGATATGTGACATCAGTGCCTAGAATGTAGTAAGCACTCATAGATTGAAGGTTTTATAACTGAATTTTTATTTGTACAATAAGAATGTTACGATTTGTGAATTTAAATGCTTAAACTTTTAAAATGGAAGGGGCATGGGGAGAGATCGGTAATTCCTTCATCTTTGTAATATGAAAATGACTGCTCTATTTGGGAACATTCTATCTAGCAGTTCTTTTTTGTATTTAGAAATCCTTACCAGAGATCCAGAAAGAATATCGCAATCTGCTTCAAGAATTAAAAGTTATTCAAGAAAATGAACATGCTCTTCAAAAAGATGCACTTAGTATTAAGTTGAAACTTGAACAAATAGATGGTCACATTGCTGAACATAATTCTAAAATAAAATATTGGCAAAAAGAGGTGAGACAGTTACCATTTAGTTTAAACATTCTTTATTTTAGAAAAAAGGGTTTGGGGAGGATTGTAGGGGTTGGGGTTCTTAAATTTTGTTGGTTTTGTTTGTGAGCTATGTTGTGATTGTTAATTCTATGATCACTTCTCAGGTTTATGTGGGACATAATAAACAATATAAATTGTTATATACAGAAAAGTCTAAGTGATTGTTAGACAACTACCCTTTCACTGTAGGACTGATCTGGACATCTAAGAAACGATTACATGAACACTTGAGTGTTACAACTGTTTTTCTTGAAGTTGGTCCTTTGAAAAACAATGGACACACAAATCAGTCACAAATCCTATTATTTTAATAGCTATGTAATTTGTCATTTTTTTCAAACAATGAATTGTAATATTGTGCCTTCTAACTCTCCCCTAAAAAAATTTAGATTTCAAAAATATCATTGCATCCTATAGAAGATAATCCTGTTGAACAGATTTCAGTTCTAAGCCCAGAGGATCTTGAAGCAATCAAGAATCCAGATTCTATAACAAATCAAATTGCACTTTTGGAAGCCCGGTGTCATGAAATGAAACCAAACCTCGGTGCTGTTGCAGAGTATAAAAAGAAGGTATGAGAGAACACTTTAAGTATACTAGCTGGAATTCTTTTTAGTCCTTAGTGTAAATTAACAATGCTGTCAGCAGGGCGTGGTGGCTCATGCCTGTAATCCCAGCACTTTGGAAGGCTGAGGCGGGTGGGTCATGAGGTCAGGAGTTTGAGACCAGACTGGCCAGCATGGTGAAACCCCATCTCCACAAAAGATACAAAAAAATTAGCCAGACATGGTGGTATGTGCCTGTAGTCTCAGCTACTCGGAGGCTGAGGCGGGACAATCACTTGAACCTGGGAGGTGGAGGCTGCAGTGAGCTGTTGCACTCCAACCTAGGCAACAGGGCAAGACTTCATCTCAAAAAATAGTAATTAACAATGCTAAGTCTCATATCAAATTTATCTGAGTAGGTTTTTCCTATCATAACATTCTTTTCACAGGAAGAATTGTATTTGCAACGGGTAGCAGAATTGGACAAAATTACTCATGAAAGAGATAATTTTAGACAGGCATATGAAGATCTTCGGAAACAAAGGCTTAATGAATTTATGGCAGGTTTTTATATAATAACCAATAAATTAAAGGAAAATTACCAAATGCTTACTTTGGGAGGAGATGCTGAACTGGAGCTTGTAGACAGCTTGGATCCTTTCTCTGAAGGAATCATGTTCAGGTTTGTAATCCCACTCTTAACTTCTTTATACATATTCTCCAAACTCAGTATTTCTTGGAGGTAGGATGTGAAGGCAAGGTCTGCAGCTTGTTTTATTTGATGATAAATACTAATTTGTTTCCATGCTGTTTATGCTTGCAGTTTACAGGGGCAAACAGCCAGTATTGACAAAATATTTGTCTAGTTCATCTTTTAAATTTTCAAACCATTTTAATGGCAGGATTGAGAAATTATATTTGGTAAGGGGAAAGAATAGCAAGAAGTATAAGTATTTCCCTCGCTCTTTAAAAATCTTAAAATTTTGATATGTATTCCTATGTATTCATCCTCCAATGTTTTTATAAAATAACAGAAAAGAGTTCGTATTTGTGAAAAGCAAAGAACATATTCCTAAGAGAAATATGGCATAAGGCGATTAATGGAAAACAAATCATGAGGTCTTAACTTTAGCTATATAAGTAATTTGACTAAGATTTTCTTAATCATTTCAGTGTTCGACCACCTAAGAAAAGTTGGAAAAAGATCTTCAACCTATCAGGAGGAGAGAAAACACTTAGTTCATTGGCTTTGGTATTTGCTCTTCATCACTACAAGCCCACTCCTCTTTACTTCATGGATGAGATTGATGCAGCCCTTGATTTTAAAAATGTGTCCATTGTTGCATTTTATATATACGTAAGTAATCATTTCAGGATTTTCATTCCAGAAACTTTCAAGGGTACCCTAAACATTACATATGGAATTCTTTATTTCTTACTATTGAGCTTTTCTTTATTCTCTCAACTCCATCTTCTCTGCTATCAGTGGAGACCAGATTATTTCTTATTTGAACCAAATATTTCCACTTTGGAGCATTAAAATATAAATTAAAAATGCATATTAATCACAGCTGGAGTCCTACGTCATTTTCCTAGATTTTTTCCACTAGAAGTCAAAATAATCACATTCCTTTCAAACTCAAATACTGTTTTATGAATTAGTCCTGCCATCATTCCTTTACATGTTATCAATGTAATGTTTATTGTCCAAAAAATATTTGAGGTTACATGTTTTTGTGATTTACCTGTTACTACTTAACATTTCTTACTCTTTCTTTCTCTTTAGGAACAAACAAAAAATGCACAGTTCATAATAATTTCTCTTCGAAATAATATGTTTGAGATTTCAGATAGACTTATTGGAATTTACAAGACATACAACATAACAAAAAGTGTTGCAGTAAATCCAAAAGAAATTGCATCTAAAGGACTTTGTTGAACTTGTTTATACTGAAGATTCTTCAAATTGATTGTGTATTACTGATTTTTTTCTATTTGTAAAGGATTATGAGTTGTATAAAATACTTCTTAAACTAGATCACGAAACTGGTTTCTATTTTATGCAGTTCAGTCATTTATAAGGTCTAATAAAATATTCTCTGTAACTACTAGATTACAAAAATATGACCATTTTGTAAGTAGCAGACAATGGAAAAAAATGAGATACCTGGACGTCATATAACTTGCCCTTAGTTCCAAGTTGCTACCAGCAAAGTAAAAAGTATGCTATCAAGGCTCAGCATACCTTCGTGGGCCTTTTCTACCTACACTAGAAAAGTCTGCCAGATAATCTTGGATCAATTCTTTAAGGCATTCCACTTAGCTTGCCAGTTCAGACAATCACCAGTTATTACCCAAATACTAGGAACATATTTTTGTAAACCAGTCATTCTGAATTATAGTGATGAGAATAAGTATCATGTTTTTCTAAAATGTGATTGATGTGTTTGACCACTTATGACTTAAAAGAGAGCCAGTAAATTAAGATAGTGTCTCAACAAGCCTAGGCTATCTCATAAGTTGAGAAACATCCCACGATAGTTACTTGATGAGTATGAAGTAAGATGGCCCGACTTACACTGGTTCAACTTACAAATTTTCAACTTTATGAAACGTGTATCAGGGTACTCAAATGCATTTCAACTTGATAGCTTCAACTTACAGGTTTACGAGGATGTAGCCCCATTGTTGCAGCATCTGTATTTGAGTAATCTTTGCCTATAAATTTGTCAGGGTATTTTTACACTATTGGCTCAAGAATGTTATAATGCTACTGGACATAAGTTGGCAACCACTTGGTTTTTGGAAGGACTTTCAGTATTGAACTAGAAGTCTGCCCTATCTATTTAATTCCTGGGTATTTATCCTAAGGAATTAGAGTTAATTGTTTCTTCTGTGGACCATTGTTTTTGATATTTAAAAAAAAAATACAACAGTTTCTATCATGTAACTGTGAAAATGTAAACACATTTATAGCATGGCCTTTTAAATAAAGCAAGATCTGAAATTCAAGTATGGTAATTTGTTCTAAATCAAGAATACATAAGGGCAAATGTTTAAACTGCTGTAATTATAATCAAGTGTTTTCACTTGGTGGGAGAAGTGAATAGAATTTAATACTTCATTGTTTTTTTGGCAGGGCGTCTGTTACCCAGGGTGGAGTGCAGAGGCAAGATCTTGGCCCACTGGTTCAAGGAATTCTCTTGCCTCGGCAGCACCTGTAGAGGCTGGGCCTACAGGTGTACACCACAGTGCCCAGCTACTTTTTGTATTTTTGGTAGAGATGGGATTTTGCCATGTTGGCCAACCTGGTCTCAAACTCCTAGCCTCAAGTGATCTGCCTGCCTCAGCTTCCCAAAGTGCTGGGACTATAGGGATGAGCCACTGCACCCTGCAGTTGCTAAGTTTCAAAGAATTAGAAGTGCTTAGAACCTATATGAAAATCGCATAAGTACCACTCCTGAGTGGAACTCTCAAGCCACTCAATGCAAATATCAAGAGGAGTTTATTAAAATATTTTATTATACATAAAGCTTAAAAATATTTTAAGATTTATATACGTTAACTTTTGCAATCTTCCTACTGGTAAAAATACAAGACAGCAGCATAAGAACCAGTTACTCATATACTTAACTATATTTATACATAACAAAATGAAAAATTTTACTGAAAACTGGCAAGATACAATGTCAATAGTACAGATACATAATTTTGTGTTTAGCTATAATTCCTACCGATTATAAACCCCTATTAATCTTGGCCTACTTCTTTGAGTGATAGCAAGAACTCTGAAGATAATGTATGGGTTCTCTCTCACAGCTAATATGGCCTTGGGCAAGTCAGTTTTGTCAGTTCCCTCTACAAAAAGTGGGGGTTAAAAATATTCACATCACAGAAATGAGAGATTAGATGGCATACATTTCATTGCTTATGTGTATTTTAAACTACCGGGCACTTTTATGGTGTGACTAGTATTTAATGAATGTAACTTAACATTCTTATCTCTACCTTAATATCTGAGTATGTCTCTCCTTACCTCTACTAATCCTTTAAAATGTTCTTGACCAACACAATAGTTAATTGTGCTAGGTTTAAGTATGATTCTAATTATAAATTGACATAATAAAGTCATCTTAATGTTAAGACTTGTTTTCAGCAGATAAGAACTTAAGTTTTACAACTAGTTCCCTGAAAAAGCTGTATTTATTTATGATAGTTTATATGCAATCTGTAGAGCCAGGAACACTGTCTAATCTGACCCAAAACATCTTTTTGAACTAGATAAAGAGCAGCCCACAGGGATTTCTGGAAAGCAAATCAACTTGCACTTAGGGTTGCATGGACAGTGGGCCAAGAGTCATAACATACGCATCATAACTCCAGTCTCTGTTAAAGGGAACGACAAGGTTTTGATTTAGTAAGCCCTCTTAAGCAAAGCTAAGAATATAAGATTAAGTTGTAGTATTTGCATTGGCTTTAGGGAATGTGATGGAAAATTTAGTTTTTAATATGAATAAAGTCTACATGATGCCATCAAAACCTGTTGCAGAGCAGTTCATGAATATGATCCTCTTCTATTAAGAATGAAGGTTTTTAGATTTTTGAGACGGAGTCTTGCTGTGTCACCCAGGCTGGAATGCAGTGGCGCAATCTCAGCTCATTGCAACCTCTGCCTCCCAGGTTCAAGCAGTTCTGCCTCAGCCTCCTGAGTAGTTGCAACTACAGGCGCATGCCACAATGCCCAGCTCATTTTCTTTGTATTTTTAGTAGAGATGGGGTTTCATCGTGTTAGCCAGGATGGTCTCCATCTGACCTCATGATCTGCCCGCCTGGGCCTCCCAAAGTGCTGGAATTACAGGTGTCAGCCACCACGGCCTGCCAAAAATGAATTTTTATCAAAAAACTTATTTGACGAGTAGAAAAGTTAAATACAATCTTAAATTTACACAAACTATATATGACAAGTATGAGAAAATGCTGACCCCCAGGCACAGTGGCTTACATCTGTAATGCCAGCACTTTGGGAGGCTAAGGTGGTAGGATCTCTTGAGTCCAGGAGTTTGAGACCAACCTGGGCAATATGGCAAAAAACATTTCTTAAAAAAAAACAAACTTTTTTAGTTAGCCAGGCCTGGGAGCATGTGCCTTGTCCCAGCTACTCCAGAGGCAGAGGTAGGAGGATCAATTGAGCCTGGGTGGTCAAAACTGCAGCTAATGATGGCCAGACCATTGTACTCCAGCCTGGGCAAAAAAAGTGAGACCTCTTCTCAAAGTTTTTTTTTAAAAGCAATTGTTCCTAACAGTTGCCCAAAAGCAATAGCTTTATTCAGAGTGAAGGCTAATAAATATTTAGGGCTCTTACATCTATCTAAAACACAGGTATGTTTGATCAAAAGATCTTTAAGCAATGCCTTATCACTTTAAGACTTTGTTGCTTGATTTTAAAACCTCTTTATCATCCTTATTCACCCATTCAAAAGCTTCAAGCCACATCAAAACAAAGGTATATGTACTTTCAGCTTTTGCTATGTATAAAGAACCATAAAGCCAATTAACTGCAGTATATAATAATAGTAAAAGACAATAATGGTACAAGAATGTTTAAATGTCACAGCAACATTATGTTGACCTTCACAAAGCCAATAAAAATGGGAGTTATTAATTTTCAAAGTAGTTACTAGATTTTATTTCCCAATTTGAATATTTCAGGTATCTCATTTCTAACTTTGATATATCATTGCTAACCAAAAGAAGCAACAAATATAAACACTATTTCTATTAGTTGCAGCACTGATAAAGCTCAGTTTACTATTTTTTTCATTTAGCAATGGTTAATCTCTGCTGCACAGCCCATTTAAACAATTCAGATTGACGTTTTCAATGGGAGACTATTTTCCACATGAATTCCTTCAATAAATAGAAAATGTGATACAGTATATTCTTTACATCATGCAGACTGTTAGATAAACTTTGGTAAATAGATAGCGAGGCTTCAGAAAACCATACTAAAGTAATTTCATTTAAAAAGGTTATGATGTGTTCGTTGAAAAAGAGTATCAACATCAGTATCACTGAAATTAATGTAACTATAACAACGTTTAAAATTTTTAAAAATTCAATTCCCTTTTCATCCTTATCAGGCCAGGAACATGGCATCCTTTTTGGAGAAATATTCATTTTGGGAATGAGAACTTTATTAATTTGTCCAATTTCTGTTCTGTTCCATTCTTCTTTCAATACTTCGCTTACTCGAGGATAAATTTCAAGAGGTAGAACCTCAGGAAGTGGTCTTTGTTTCAAGATCTGTACACGCTGGCGTACATCATCAACTTTTTCAAGAAAATTAAGTGGAGACTCTTCTTGTAAAGATGTTGTCAGTGTCATTAATTCAAGCTGCTGCTCTCTTACTTCTTTCATTCTTTCAATTTGTGGAGTATATACTTGATTAATCAGATTGCTAACATCATAGAGAGCTGTTAGGAAATTGTCTTTTTTCTGTTCTAATGTATCATTAAGCTCCTTAAAATACTGGAGAACAAATTCCTTTTCACCTTGGACCATTTTCTCAGAATGAGATTTTTGTTCTTCCAGCTTTTCAATAAGATTTGTAAGATCTGTCCAGTGTGTGTCAGTCAACTGTTCAAGCAGTTTCTGAGGTGTGTCCTTTTCTTTCAAATAGGCACTTTGAAGGTCATCTATAGGATGACCATGATGTTCACCTATGGTAAGGCAATGACCACAAACTAATTTTTTGTCTAGTAGACAGTAAACATTTAATGGTTGCCTGTAATGTTCAGGGCAGGTGACAATATCTGGATGGTCTTCTTGCTGGTACTTTTCAATAATAGCCCTTAAAGCAAAATTAACAGGTAAAGATTCAATGCCAGTTGGAGCAATTTCAATAATACTTCTGCAATTAGGGCACTTGAGTGGAATTCGTAAAGGTCTCCATATATAAAAGTTACCAGATGCCTGAAGAACATTTTCCAAACAATTTCTACAAAATGTATGGGAGCATGGCAGTACACGAGGATCTTCAAAAATACTGTAACATATGGGACAAGTTAACTCTTCCTCAAAATTGTGCATTTCCTGTCAAGAAGAAAAAGTATTTTAAGCTTACATAGAGACAGCTGTACATATTAACATTCTAGGTATTAACCTCCAAATTGTTACTATACTGTTGTCACTTAAAAGAGAACAAGGTATTTTTAGCTGGGCACACTGGCTCACACCTGTAATCCCAGCACTTTGGGAGGCTGAGGCGGGTGGATCACAAGGTCAGGAGTTCGAGACCAGCCTGGCCAATATGCTGAAAGCCCCTCTCTACTAAAAATATAAAACATTAGCTGGCCATGGTGGCATGCACCTGTAATCCCTGCTGCTCAGGAAGCTGAGCAGAATTGCTTGAACCCAGGAGGTAGAGGTTGCAGTGAGCCAAGATCTCGCCACTGCACTCCAGCCTGGGCGACAGAGCAAGACTTTCTCAAAAAAAAAAAAAAAGAACAAGGTATTTTTAAAATGAAGCTTTCTTAGTAATTCAATTCCTAGTATATATAGTGAATGATCACAATTAAGAGTTTATTCCTTAGGGACCAAAATCATCCCAAATAAAGCAATTATCATTAATTTGTAAAATGCTTCAAATTAAAGTTATTTAAATTTGTTGCTATGTGCCATCGTTTGGCTGTGTCTCCATCCAAATCTCATCTTGAATTGTAGCTCCCTTCATTCCCACATGTTGTGGGAAGGGCCCGGTGGGAGATAACAGAAACACAGGGTCAGTTCCCCCATGCTGTTCTTGTGGTAGTGAATAAGTATCATAAGATCTGACGGTTTTATAAGACGAAACCCTTTTGCTTGGCTCACATCCTCCCTTGTATGCCACCATTTGAGACATGCCTTTCACCTTCCACCATGATTGTGAGGTCTCCCCAGCCATGTGGAATTGTGAGTCCTGTAAACCTCTTTTTCCTCATAAATTACCCAGTCTTGGGTATGTCTTTATCAGCAGCATGAAAACAGACTAATACAATATGTAATAAAGACTAAGTAAAATTCAAAGTGTTCTGTGAAAGTCCACTTAGTGATTACAAATATTCTGTGCAATGTTTTAATGTTTAAGATGATAAAATCAAAACCAAACACATAAAATGAGTAGACAAGACTATTTCTATTATAATAAGTTAGGGTTATCAAAAGTATATTCTTTAATACAAAAGGAGGAAACATGTACCAGCTGGCTCAATCATAGTTTCTAAAGCAAGTTATTAAATTTCTCTATAGTAACTGTTACTACCGTAAATTTTTTAGCTTCTTGAATAAGAATACGAGTATGCCCAACACCCAGGATCCGCATAGTATAATTTTCTAAGGCAATAATTTTAACTTGGAGATCTAGAAGGCAGAAAAATTTTGAATTAATCCTTATAATAAAAATCAGTTTGAAAGATAAGAGTTAACTAAGGTAACTGTGAATTACTGCCTTAATTTTTAAGTGAAACACTAGAGCACAAAATGGTAAAGAATATAAAGGAGACCATTAGTCATCTTTCCTTCATGAAAAAGACCCTTGATAAGCATTTCTCTGAAACAGAAAAAGAAACCCAGCAATAGTTCAGAGACCATCTCTGACACAAGTAACTTGACCTCTTGACAAGCTATTATTATTTCCAATAAGAAAAGCCTGACCATTTTGCATCCTACCACCTCTTACTGTTTCCCTTTATACCTACCCTCAATGCAAGCCACAGTTGTAAAGACTGGCTTCCTCTTTGATAGAGAAAGATCAAGTTACACCACTGTCGAAAGTACCTTAAGCAAAACTTAAAAACCCAAGTGCCATTCATGTAAAATATAAAGGTTACTAAATCACATGCTATAAAACTAACTTTCAAGATTAAAAATCTGTGAAAACAGCATCTAAAAGTAACTAATTGCATTTTTAATAAAATGCAAACTTGGCCCCTTATCTTTACCAACTGTCAAACTTTTTTTTTTTTTTTGAGTCTGATCTTATTTGTTACTCAAAAAATCTTATTTCTGACTGGATTCAGACTTAGAAGTAGAAGCTCGGAGAGACGAAAGTCTGTTGTCTGTTCGCAATTTGTTCCTGGCGCTTCTCTTTAGCCTCCTTCATTCTCTTGGTTAAAAGTCTAGCATATTCTGCAGCCTCTTCCTTGTTCTTAGTACGCTGCTTCTTCAGAGCAATAGGCCACCGTTTGTGCTGCAGGACATGTGGAGTAACAAGACGCTGAATCTTGGGTGCTTTGGTCCTAGGTTTCTTACCTTCTTTGTTTAAGGGCTTTCTTAGAACATACTGGCGGACATCATCTTCTTTAGAAAGACTGAAAAATTTGCGGATTCTGCTAGCTCTTTTGGGTCCCAGGCGACGAGGCATGGTGGTATCAGTTAGTCCAGGAATATCCTTCTCTCCTTTTTTTTTTTACTATAACCAAGTTGAGAACGCTCAGATTAGCATCCACAATGCAACCACGAACGGGTTTTCTCTTTCTTTCTCCAGTTCTCCTTGGTCTGTAACAGGAATGCCCCCTACTCAGCAGCAGGCGGACACGGCCATGGGTTAAGACACCCTGCTTCACGGGGAAACCTCGTTTGCCGTTCCCACCACTGATTCGGACCACATAACCCTTCCATTTTTCATCCAGAGCGTCAGCAGCAACTTCTGTTGCCATACACTTCTCATAAAAAGTACGAAGTTTGCGTTCATCGTCCACTTCAATGAGTTTCTGGCAGCTTCACTTTGAAGCAGCTATATATACGCCTTCGAGGCGCCATGAAAAGAGGCTACCAACTGTCAAACTCTTACTCTTCCTTTAAGCCTCAACTTGAGCCTACCTTTTCCCCAGATTAGGTCCCCTGTCATTCTCACTAAACACTGCACTTCTACTTCATAGCATTTTAACAGCATTTTATTCAAAACAATTCTGCAACTCTTCTGTATACATTAGGATGTAGGCCTCCTATAAGGGCAGGAATTGTATCTAAACTATGGTTATATTCCTGCAATTTAGGTGCAAATTTTAACATAGTAGGCATTTACTTGTTATTGGTTCAATGAACAAATGCCTTTTCAGAAACCAGTGGCTAATACAGACTTTTGTTTTTTTGGGTTTTTTTAATAGCAAAATCTCTGCTTAGGAAAAGGTGTAAAAGGCAAATCTCTCAGAAAATACTCCATTCAGACTGACAACATTCAGATCCCAAGTGAGCCACAGTGTGTCACAGAGACTAAGCTTGAACTGTGAAACATTCCAGCAAACTAAAGTAATTGCGCAACAGTAAAGAAGATGACATTCACTGCAGAGAAATTCAAGTGAGTGCATGTTGGCAAGACTTTACAACTTTACCCTACACCTACAGAAAGCTCTGAAGTCATACAGAAACCATCCAAGAAAAACAAACGTTTTTCACAGCATTTCAGTGATGTCAGAATTCACAAGGAAGGAATAAACAGAATAAAACTTGATAGGAAATAAAATTTGAGCAGTGGACATACATTTAATCTAGATTTAATATTACTGGAACTATTAAATTGTTTAAGTAGCAAAATTAGTCCTAAAACACAATCTAACTTTTCTCTCCAAACCCAATCCTGTATTGCAAAAAGCTAGGAAACAACTCTGAGAATGCAGTTGGGGGCCAAAAGTTCAACTTCCTTTAGAATGAGAATATTCACAACATTGTAAACAAAATGTCATTTCCTAATCTTATATAAAATGGAAGCAGGCCAAGGCAGGTGGATCACTTAAGGCCAGGAGTTTGAGACCACCCTGGCCAACATGGTAAAACCCTGTATCTACTAAAAATACAAAAATTAGCCAGGCATGGTGGCGTCCACCAGTAATCTCAGCTACTCAGGAGGCTAAAGCACGAGATGGAGTGACTACACTCCAGCCTAGGAGACAGAGCAAGACTCTGTCTCAAAAAAAAAAAAAAAAAAAAAAAAAGGAAGCAAAAGTCATGGTTGGTCTCAAAGTTACTGCTATCATATGTATATTTTTCAGACAAAAATTTGTGGATAACTTAAAGATCACAGAAGTCAAAACCAACTCTCAGACTACCCTTTTCTCACTAGTTTTTTTATTAAAAACTTATTTTAGGCAACAAATTCAAGAGAAACCAGAACTGAAAAATAACTTTGTAAGGCTAGGAAATTTCTGACTCTGGTTGCTGCCTGAGAAGTAAACTATATAGGTGAGCCAAGTGCGGTGGCTCACACCTGTAATTCCGGCACTTTGGGAGGCCGAGGTGGGAGGATCACTTGAAGCCAGGAGTTCAAGACCAACCTGAGCAACACTGTGAGACCTCATCTCTACTAAAAATTAAACATTAGTAGGGCACAGTGATAAACGCATATAGTCCCACCTACTTGGGAGGCTGAGGCAGGAGGACCACTTGAGCCCAAGAAATTGAGACTGCAGTGAGCCACAACTGTGCCACTGTACTCCAGCCTAGGCAATAGGGCAAGACCCTGTCTTTAAAGAAAAAGAAAAAACAAGATATACGTGGCTATCATGCTTAGAGGCTAGTACTTTCGGAAACCAATATGAAATTTTATGCAGCAGAAATTTTCCACAAGCAGCCTAGGCTTCTGAGGGGAAGAAAAAGAGCAAAACCTTTACCTATGTATATTTTCTAGAATGAACATCTTGGATTTAGCTATGCTGTATGTAGGTTTCCAAACAGTAAAAACATCAATAACACTGGAAACCACAAGATAATGAAAGTAATGCCTTTGATATTCTCATTTTTTCAGGGGAAAAAAATGGCTTCCAAAATGGAAAATAAAATTCTATACCTAGAAAAAAAATATCCATTTTGATAAAAAAAAGTTTGACATATAAGGTCTCAAAAATGGAACAACCTTCTGCCAACTCTTTCTAAAGAAGCTACTGAAGGGAGAAAAGAAAAGCAAGAATGTTCACCAGCATAACGGTGAAATAAAGTCCAGGACAACTGTGAACGTCTAGAGAAGAATCGCTCCAGGAGAGGAAGACAGATCTTTAAGTAAATGGAACTGACAGAATATTTCATGTGTCTGAAACATATTGAGCAGTAACTAAATTTAGGGGAAAAAAGTGATAGAATCATGAAAGAAAGGAAAGATTAATATTATAGTATATGACTCAGCTGTCATAGTGATAGTCATAATATTGTAAATATCAAATACTGATTTTACAAAGAGTGACAAAATTATATTGAGAGGGAAAATAAGGGAAGGAAACAGTTTAAGAACTAAAACTTAATCTTTCCTTATAAGAAAGTCAATACATACTTAAAAAATAAATCACAAAAAATATCTAGAAATATAGAAGAAATGCCATAAGAAATGTTAAAAAAGATCAAAGTGACTGCTTCTAGAGAGCAGTAATCTGTTTTTCATTATAAATTATGGTTTTACTTTTAACTATTAAGCAATTAAAAATATAACAAAATTTTAAAGAACTAAAGATAATCCTACAAGAATCCACATAGAAAAGAAGGATGAAAAAAGGAAAACAAAACCAAAGGTCTCAGAATTCTCCTTTGGGAGACTCATTTCCAAAATTGGAATGGCCACAATAATTATCTCCCACATGTGCTGTCCTGTAATGTGAGTTTGCTGCTACTCCCTGTGCATGAAGAGATGAAATCAATTCTCTTGAATGTGTGTGGGCCATGTGACTGCTTTGACCCAATAGGATACAGTATAAGTGATGCAGTAGTTCTAGGTATAGCGATTAACTAACTTGGCAGGTTGCTGCCTCAGAGCCACAAACTGCTATGCCTCAGAGCCACAAACTACTTTGCTGAAGAGACAGGCCAAATAGAAGGGCAAGGAGTTGCCAGACAGATGAGTGAAAAAGACATCTTGAACATCAGGCCAGCCCAACTTCCAGATGTATGCTACACAGCAAGAAATAACCAGAACATCACCTGCAACAAGGAACGCTAGAAGACAATGTAGCAATGTCCACAAGGTCTAGAAGGACAAGGATATGAGCTGAGAATTCTGTACACAGCCAAGACATAATTTATTCATGTGAAACAACAGAAATACTCTCACAGTAAAATCTGCAGAGTTAAAAAAAAAATGATATGGGCAGAGCTGACACCATACACTTTCCTCACCAAACCAAAAAGAATATAAAATGAGAATTCAACTTTTAAAAGGGAAAAAAATGGGGAAAAGTAGAAAAAAAGAATAAAGATAGGCCTCATGTGGTGACTCACACCTGTAATCCTAGCACTTGGGAAGGCCAAAGTGGGAGGATCATTTGAGTTTGAGACCAGCCCTGGCAACACAGAGAAACCTCATCTCTACAAAAAATAAAGAACTTAGCTAAGCATAGTGGCACACACCTATTAGTCCTAGCTACTCAGGAGGCTGAGGAGGGTGGATTGCTTGAGCCTGGGAGGTCCAGGCTGCAGTGAGTCTTGAGCCATGGTCGTACCACTGCATTCCAGCCTAAACTACAGAGCCAGATTTTGTCTTTAAAAAAAGAACAACAAGAAGAAAGATAGAAAAATGGAAGATGATAATGAACCAGAAAACTTACTAAAACTGGCCGGGCATGGTGGCTCACGCCTGTAATCCCAGCACTTTGGGAGGCTAAGGCAGGCGGATCACAAGGTCAAGAGATCAAGACCATCCTGGCCACCATGGTGAAACCCCATTTCTACTAAAAACACAAAAATTAGCTAGGCATGGTAGTGCACACCTATAATCCGAGCTACTGGGGAGGTTGAGGCAGGAAAATCACTTGAACCCGGGAAGCAGAGGTTACAGTGAGCCAAGATCGCACCATTGCACTCCAGCCTGGGCGACAGAGCAAGACTCTGTATCAAAAAAAAAAAATTGCTAGAACTGATAAATCCAAAAGATGGCTCTTTTTTCTTGCTCTGTCACCAGGGCTAGAATGCAGTGGTGTGACAAAGGCTCACTGCAACCTCAACTTCCCAGGCTCAAACAATCCTCCCAGCTCAGCCTTCCAAGTAACTGGAACTACAGGTGCATGTCAACACATGTGCCTAATGTTTTTATGATTTGTAGAGATAGGGTCTCATTACAGGCTGGTCTCAAAATCCTGGTCTCAAGCGATCCTCCCACCTCAGCCTCCCAAAGTGCTAAGAATATAGTTGTGAGCCACTATGACTGGTCTAAGAGTTGGTTCTTTAAGTAAATAAACAAGCCATTAGCTCATCTGTGATAAGCAGCCTCTAAAATGGCTCCCAATGACCTACACTTCCTGGATACTCTTGAAATCTCCTCTCCCTTAAAGTGTGAACTAGACCCTACTCAACTGTTCCAGAATACAAATATGTAAAGTTTTCTAGGCTGGGCGCAGTGGCTCAAGCCTGTAATCCCAGCACTTTGGGAGGCCGAGATGGGTGGATCACGAGGTAGACAGATCGAGACCATCCTGGTCAACATGGTGAAACCCCGTCTCTACTAAAAAAAAAATACAAAAAATTAGCTGGGCATGGTGGCGCATGCCTGTAATCCCAGCTACTCGGGAGGCTGAGCCAAGAGAATTGCCTGAATGCAGGAGGCGGAGGTTGCGGTGAGCCAAGATGGCGCCATTGCACTCCAGCCTAGGTAAACAAGAGCGAAACTCCGTCTCAAAAAAAAAAAAAAAAAGTTTTCTAATTGTTTTGAACACAGTATAACACAATTCGAAAACCTGAGATAATACAAATTAAAAATGGACAAAATTTCAAAAATGGGCACTGATATAAAATTCTAAATACAATGTTAGCAAAAATACAGGAGTACATTAAAAAAACACTGTACCATGACTAAGTAAGGTTCTTTACAGAAATATAAAGTTAATTCGCTAATAGAAAATCTATTAATATAATTCACTCAGTTCAATGGGAAAAAAATTTACAATCATATACATGTGAAAAAGCATATAACATCAAAACCAATAAGCAGTCCACAAAGACAGAAAGTAAAATGGTAGTTGCTAAGGCTTGAGAGCAGGCAATATGCTGAGTTACTGTTTTATGCAGGGGTCCCAAACCCTCCCTACCCACCCCACGCCCCTGCCATGGTGGCAGGCAAACCTGCCTGAACTCCACCTCCTGCCAGATCAGTGGCTGCATTAGATTCTCTTAAGAGTGTGAACCCTAAATTACACATGCAAGGGATCTAGGTTGTGGACTCATTGTGAGAATCTAACTAATGCCCGATGATATGCAGTGGAACAGTTTTATCCCAAAACCATCCACCACCCACCCGACCTCTGTCCATGAAAAAACTGTTTTCCACAAGACTGGTCCCTGGTGCCAAAAGGTTGAGGACTGCTGGTTTAATGGGTATACAGTTTTCAGTTTTGGGAAGATGAAAAAGTTCTGGAGATAGTGATGAAAGTTACAAAACAATCTGAATGTATTTAATACCACCAAACTGCATACTTCTAAAAATAACAATGGTTCATGCTTCTAATCCCAGCACTTTGGGAGGCCAAGGCAGGCGGATGACAAGGTCAGGAGTTCGAGACCATCCTGGCCAACATGATGAAATCCTGTCTCTACTAAAAATACAAAAATCAGCTGGGCGTGGTGGCGCATGCCTGTAGTCCCAGCTACTTAGGAGGCTGAGGCAGGAGAATTGCTTGAACCCAGGAGGCAGAGGTTGCAGTGAGCAGAGATCGTGCCACTGCACTCCAGCCTAGTGCCTGGTGACGGAACCAGACTCTGTCTCAAAAAAAAAAAAAAATTACAATGTAAATTTTATGTTAAGTATATTTTACACAATAAAAAAAAAAATTTTAAGTCTCTTCCCTATTATCCAGTCTTTCTTTTGCTAAATGAATTTGAATCAATTTATACTATTTTGTCTTTAAAAAGCAAAAAAGCAAAATAATTGATGTAAAATGTATTTTCCTCTAGTGAGTACTGAGCCCGTGTGAAAAGCAGCACTTCAAGATTTCCTGCTTCTCTTTCAAGTCACCAAGAAATATGAATATTAAAAAAAAGAATCTTCTCAGAAAGAAACCTGACTAAATCACTCTACTTATAAATTATTTCACTAATGTCTAGTGTGTTTAAGTGTTAAAAACAAATACATTTCTGAATTTCCAAACTTTTTATTAAGTCTTTCTCCAGAGGGCCAATTCACTAGGGAGTCTCCATGATGTCTAACTGGCATATTAGGTAACAAATAGTGTAACAGATGATGAATTAAATAGCACCAAAAATATAATTACCTGTATAAACCAGTTTTTAAGTCTCCAGTACAAACCAGTTTTTAAGTTTTAATTCACTAATGCTTTCCTGCCTTTCAGCTCTAAACATGAACGGCTATAAAACGTTCATTATATTTTACAACCTCTGAAAAGAAAATATATTTACTATAGTATAGAATTAGATGACTTGCCCAAAGACTTCTAGTGAGTCAGCTTTAAGTATAGGAAAATTCAAGTGGTGCCACCACCCAAACTGGGGCTCACATCTTTGTGTCCCTGATAAAGAAGAAACATATTTTATGCAATTCAAGCCTTACTTAAGATATAACTACAACTGCACCAATGATATACACATATAGGAATTTTTTTAACATTGTCCCGGAAAGTCTCAGAAACAAGATTTAAAAAAAATAATCTTGTCACATATAAATATACAAATATAATGAGGGGGCACCAAAACTTTTTCAAATTAAAAAAAAAAAAAAAAACTATGGCCAGCTGATTTTAACTATTAATTCAATTTAACCAGGAATTGACTTGAGAAGTTGAGGCTTTAATTGCTTTTGTTATACCTTTCAAAGTAAAAATATATCCAGTGGAAAATATTCAGCAATGTGTTTGGTGAAAGGCAGTGTCAAAACTAACATTACCTAAACTCAAAATTTCGTCTTGCCAAATTAAATGGCTAAGTACTCTACCAACAGAATGTTTTTTCAAGACTTTTAAGTTTCACCTAATAGTTTAAATCATACACTCTGTAAGAACTTAATTAAAATGTTTTCCATAGTCACTTAATCTCTCAGAACTTACCTACTTTGCCGATCTCCTGGTTTGGGGACTGAATGCACTATCTTCTCCAACTCTTCCGGAATCTTTTATTCTTATTCTAAAATTAAAATAATGTTATCTTTAATGTTTTCGATTTATTGTCGCGTCACAAAAATCGTTGTTAGTTCACTGTCTTTGATGTTTATCTTCACTGTGTCTCACTGTTTTCAGAAAAGTCACAAATACCAACAGTTGCTGGAGCTGAAGTGGAGGTATCGCTAGTACCCTGAAAATCCCAACTCTGACCTAATAGACGGTCACGAAGGACCTCTTTTTGCAGTGTCAAATAGCTTATGAGCTCTCGACAGTATTAACCAACAATGGTGATGGCAGAACCAATACTCACGGTCATTTTAGAGTGCTTAAAATTAACTGCAAGACAAAAGCAATCATAGGAGTCAAAGACTTCGCCGGCTCAAAATTAAAACTGATTTAATATAGTCTGCTCATCTCTCTGTTCTGCCATTTCAATGCTGTGGGACCCTGGGTCAGATGTACCTAATGCACCTCAAAACTGAGGCTTCACATCTGTAAAATGGGCATAACTGCACCTAACCCAGTTAAGTCCTGCGAGCACCTAGCACAAAGGGGCTCAAAATGGCAGTACTCTTCCATTCCCCTTCTAGAAGCTTCACTCTCCCAGGCCTCCCTCCTAATGCGTGTCCGCCTCGGCGCCCGCCCGCCCCCAACACCCGCGGGACGGACCGACTCGGCGGGCGTCCGCTCATCTTACCCTCACCACCACAGAGGCCTCCTCCCTCACAGGAACCCAGCTCCAAGGTGAAGGGGTGGGAAACTGGTTCCCCAAATTCCGGTGTGGGACAAGACGGAATGAGTGCAGGATCCAAGCCACCCCCCTCCATCGTCACGCCCCCAGGATTCCCCCGCCAAACACACTGGGCACACCAGCCTGTGCTCCAGGTAAAGAAAAAAGACTCAGAGCCTCCTTCTCGGATCAGAATAAAAGGTTCTTAGACTCACCGCGGGGAGGAGGTAAACCAGACGACTCCACAGCACCTAAACAGCGCCGAGAGCCCCCGACAGATGCTGAGAACCGCCCCGAGGCCCCGCCCTTCTCCGCCCCGAAGGGTTTCAGGTGCCCAGACGGGGCGGGGCCTCGCAGCGCAGGCGCAGGCTGCAGGCAACGGTCTACTGTGGGGCATCGGCCAATAGGAACAATTGCTGGGCTTGTTCGAAAGTAAACGGTGGACTGCGCGGCCCGAGGCAGGTGGCGGAGGTCGGCTCGAGACTGGCGCCCAGCTTTCCGCGCCTGCGTGCTAGGCGCAGGCCGCCTCTCGGAAACTTGAGTAGGCGCCTCGTAGTACCGGCTCGGTAGCCGGTGGGGAGCTTCGGCCGGCGGGCTTCTTGAGCTCGGGTTCCGCCTGGGGAATCCGGATGGCACTGATGGTCAGGGCGAGAGACGGGATCTAGCGCTGGCCAAGGCACAGCGCCGGCGGCCGACGGTTTCTGGGGAACTATCTTTTACTTGGAGCAACATGGGCATGGCCTGCTGGTAGGCTGTGGAGCGCAGGGTCTTCCATCGTAGCCTCACAGACCCGCTGCTCCGGGAAGTCGCCACGCGTCCTTGTGGCACATCCACACCTGTTTCCAGCACCCTCCGCCGCTCAGCTGTTTGCTTTGTTACGAGTTCCTGAGACCTGACCCACCCGAGCACTGGGATGAGCACAAGATAAGGGGCTTGGGAACGCTCTTTGTACTCAAAGAACTCCAAGAGCGAGTGGGAAACCCCGGACTGGGGTGGGTGGATCCCTCCGTCTCTTCCTGGCCTTCCTCCTCTTCTCACGTTTTTCCACTTTATGAAAGTATTGTCTAGAGATGAGAGCTGTCCAACTCAACACTTCCAACTTCAAGTTCCTACTTCACCTCTCTGACTCCATAGAGTTAGAAAACAACGAACAGTTCAGTGGTCCCTTCCCCTTTTTTTGTTGAGAAACTTTATTCAGCTTTATCTCAAGACATCACCACTTCCCTATCCTGTCAACCTTAAATAGTGAGGTTCAGGAAATATGATTACGTATAGAGTTTATTCCAGCGTCAGGCTTGCGGGTAGCCACCCAGGAAACACCAGCTCCAAATGGGATCAGCATTCCAAAGTGAAGTTAAGGTTTCACTTAGGTGGGCAGAAACAAATTTTAGCAGGATTTCATTTTCATAACAGACCAGTGCATACTTACAGCTATTTGGTAGGTTACAGATTGCTATATTCCAAGAAAGGGTACTCCGTTATTCCGTGAGGAGGGGTCGTGATCTCAGGGGGTTGTATCTCTGGTATGGTTTTGTCCTCCTATTATAATTATTTACAGAAACAAAAGGCAGACGTTGCAGATGCCTGTTGCTTGACTCAGGCTGTAGCCGCATTCCTCTCAAAGCTCACCGTAAAGCTCCAACAGCTTTAAGTTTGAATTATTGAACTTCACATAACTATACTTAAGTCATTTTGTTTAGTAATGTGCTACATAAAGATACGGGTTCTAAACCAGGTGCGGTTGCTCACGCCTGTAATCCCAGCACTTTGGGAGGCCGAAGCCGGTGGATCACCTGAGGTCAGGAGTTCGAGACCAGCGTGGCCAACATGGCGAAACCCCGTCTCTTCTAAAAATAAAAATAAAAAAAAAAATTAGCCAGTCATGATGGTAGGCACCTGTAATCCCAGCTACTTGGGAGGATGAGGCAGGGCAGGAGAATTGTTTGAACCCGGGACGCGGAGGTTGCAGTGAACAGATATCACGCCACTGCATTCCAGCCAAAAAAAAAAAAAAAAAGTTACGGGCTCTATATACTGTATATTGCAGTACATTCAGGTCTTAGGTTTTATTCAGTAAGTTACAGGAAATATTAAAAAAGGATATAAAGCAGAAAGTAAGGCAATATTAGTGAGGCCTTAGTCAATCTCAGATATATTCACCAATTCAGCTCCTAAAAAGTTGCTCATGAAGTGTGAATTGTAGTGATAGCTACTGTTTCATGGTGGTGAATATTTGCTTTGGCTTTATGTATATTTTCTATTTAAATACGGAGTCATCCTGATAGACATCCTTCTAACTTCCTGTCGAAACAACATGTGGGACAGGTATGGTGGCTCATGTGTGTAATCCCAGCACTTTGGGAGGCCAAAGTGGAAGAATTACTTGAGCCTAAGAGTTTGAGAGCAGTCTGGGTCACAAAGTGAGAACCCATCTCTATGAAAAATAAAATAATTAGCCAGAGTGGTAGTTCACACCTGTAGTCCCAGCTGCTTGGGAGATTGAGGCAAGAGGATTGCTTGAGCCTGGGAAATCAGGGCCACAGTGAGTTATGATCACACCACTGCACTCTAGCCTGGGCAGCAGAGTGAGACCCTGTCTCAAAAACAAACAAAAAACCCAAATTATTGTGAATTATCTTTATCTTTAGAAATAGCAGTAAATGTATTGTATTTCTATAAAATTATTGACTTTAAAAATGTAATTGCTTCTGGAATTGAATTAATATGGCTGAAAATTGAATTAATATGGCTGGTTTTTGAGCTATAATATTTTTCATTTGTTTTCCCCTCTGCTTTCTTACCTCAAGACAGTTATGTATGTAAAGAAAGCAGAAGAACCTCTCACTAGACTTACTGGCTATAGTTCCCAAAAAGCCCAAGCCAGAGAGGAAAATAATATTTGAAGGAAGAGGTGGAATGCTTGAAAGAGGCAGAAATATGTTACCCAAAAATAGAGATGATTTGGGTCCTGGTAGGGGGAAACTATGACACCAAAAGGGAATAGTTTTATCTGTGCCTCCAGGGAGTCTGGCTTAGAGGCCCATGGGTTCCCAACCCTGCCAAAGATTCAAGATTTCTGTAGCCCAGCATGAATTTGGGGTTTGAGAAGGCTGGAATGGTGTAGAGAACCACAGGAGCCTACAAAAACAATGGTGGCCTCAGTGGTGGCAGTCAACTTGACATACTTGGTTTTGTGGACTGTAATTAACATACTCTACAAAAGATAATGTTTTCCTGGGAAGTTGGGACGGGGGAACTAACATTCAAAGGCAGGAGTACTTGCTTCAAATCTATAAGCCTAAAACTCAGGTGAGAAGTTGCTCAGCCACCCAAAAAACAGGTGGGAAGAGGACAGTTCAGCTGCTAGGAGTCTTTTTTTATTTTTATTTTTTTTGAGACCGAGTCTTGCTCTGTTGCCCAGGCAGGAGTGCAGTGGAGCAATCTCAGCTCACTACAACCTCCACCTCCCAGGTTCAAGCAATTCTCCTGCCTCAGCCTTCCAAGTAGCTGGGATTACAGGCGTATACCACTGCGCCCAGCTAATGTTTGTATTTTTGGTAGAGATGGGGTTTCACCATCTTGGCCAGACTGGTTTTGAACTCCTGACCTCAAGTGATCCACCCACCTCCACCTCCCAAAGTGCTGTGATTACAGGCTTGAGCCATCACACCCAGCCTTACTTCCAGTAATTTTTTGATAGAATGTTGGAAAGGGATAAAAGATGATAAAGATTTGCAATTATTTCCAGGTGTAGAAGAGGCAGCAATATAACATTAATTTTATGACAACCAGGCCAAGCATGGTGGCTCACACCTGTTATCCCCAGCACTTTGGGAGACGGAGACAGGCAGATCACTTGAGCTCAGGAGTTTGAGATCAGCCATGGGCAACATGGCGAGACCCCATCTCGACAAAGAATTTTTCTTTTAATTATGACAATCTTTTGGTGCTCAGGTCAGACTTTTTGCTTCTAGGCGTCTTCTGTCTCAACTGCTAAAACAGGAGACATCAGTAACAGAGAAGGGTTTTGTATGCAAGCTAAAACACTTCAATTAGGGGTGTTCAGAGCTACAGAGTTTAAATACTCTGCTCTTGTCTCCCATCACATTAGCCTCAGCAAGATTACAATAAAGAGAACAGTGATTTTCCAAAGTTAGAAACCTCCTATATTTCATTTCTAGGACTTCAGAGAAAATGCAGCCGCTCTTATCTGGAGCCTGGAGTGCAAAGAAAACAAAACAACACAGCGGCAGCTGGCACCGTGATTCCAGTGCAAATGAATCTGTGACAGTGAGCTAGGAGAATATACCTCACAGGTCATAGAAGGTCATTTTATCTGGAAAAAAGCACACAGCTAGATGATGCAGTGCACTTTACAGACTCAGAGATCAGGAGTTGGGGGGATTTTGGAGGCAATCTGGAAAAACCTCATTTTTACAGAAGAGAAGCCTATCAACCATGTTGGTGTTGCTTTCAACTGAGTTTCAGCTCATTTGCATATTACTACCTAAAAATGCATAAACTACACAATTTTAAAAACTAGAACATGTTATACAGAATTCATTCTCACACAGCCCTTTACAGCTATATCTCTGAATACAACTTGGAAGACTCCAAGGATGTTTCTGTCCAGTTGCAGTTTACCTTGTGACTAGTTTCCTTTTCTTATTGTCATCGAGTCCTTTTTATTTCAAATGCCACTAACTTTTTTGCCACCAGCTTTTTTAAGTACTCAGTGTTATGGGTGGCTGTAATCTTAAGTAAATTTGGGGGTCTCTTTATGTAGGCACTTAATATCCAATTTTCTAGACTACCCTGTAATTGTTATGTGTGCATCTATTTTTAAAAAATTATCCAAAGATTTTTGAATTTCAAGAATTTTTTCTGATAAATGATTCACAGAATTTTGATTTTGATACAGCCTTGTGTAATTCTCTAGTCCATTTTATCAAACCAATATCTGTTAGTTGCTTTCTAAAATACACAGCATTACAGATGCAAAGAACACAGCTCCTGTACTCAAGTTACTTATCTAAGTGAGCTAACATCCAGATCTAGTTAAATGACAACATCAGATAAACTGCAGATTAGAGTGATCTTCCAACTGGGACAAGCAGCCCAGGCCTTATGCCTTCCCCAGATTTCTGGTGAACGATGACCAGAAGTTGGAGCTGCATCTGGATGATCTTCACCTGTTCTGAGCTTCATAGAGGAATTTCCAGAATAGATACAAATCACACTGGCTGCCCACCTCACAGTTAGGCGTTCGTTTGTCATGTCGGTGCTACATCACCTTTTCAGATGATAGTCTTTGTCTCTCTTTTTCAGAATGGTTGGATTTGGGTCAGCCAGACAAGTCTGGGATTGGGTAATATCTTGCTAATGCTGGTTGGCATTATAGCTGAAAAGTCAAGAAACATTTATCTTTTAAGTTTTGGAGACTGGAGAGAATAAAACACCTTTGTAATTTAGATTCTCTACTGAGATACTGCCCTGTTGTCTTTTAAAGGAGAAACACTAGGACTTTCCTAGGTAAGAAAACCCTCTCACACTACGTACATGTCACTCAGTATATTCAGATTGCCAGATCCCAAATACATGTGTGTGCCAAGGACTTCACATAGTTCATGTGCATGATTACGTATACAGTTAACCCTTGAATAACACAGGTTTGAACTGCAAGGGCCCACTTATGGGTGGATTTTTAAAAATAAATATATTGTTTGGGAGGCCGAGGCAGGCGGATCATGAGGTCAAGAGCTTGAGACCATCCTGGCCAACTTGGCGGAACCCCATCTTTACTAAAAATATAAAAAATTAGCTGGGCGTGGTAGCACCCACTGTAGTCCCAGCTACTCAGGAGGTTGAGGCAGGAGAATCGCTTGAAGCCAGGAGGTGGAGATTGCA